CCCCCCCCCCCCCTCTCTCTCTCCCCCTCTCTCTCTCTCTCTCTCTCCCCCCCCCCTCTGTTTCTCTCTTTGAGAAAGATTGATGCATCTTTTTGTAATTTTTATTGTAACAATATTCTGTTAACATTTTGAATGCAGGTAGGCCAGACTATTCTTGTCTTGAAACAACTATGGCCGAAAGGATCTGACATTAGGCGTGTGGTCTGTGTCCTTGCTTGTGCAGTGTTATTAAAAATCTACAGCAATATGTGTAAAAATGCAAACACTTTCATGGGAACACGGAAGAAGCCATCCAAAACAGTAAGTATTTTTTTAACTACCTTCTCAGTGCATTCAGCACGTGCATTTTGCTAACAGAAGAGATAGCTGTCTCTGAATCCGAAGTTGGAGAGGCTTAGCAGCTTCTTTTGTGATTGCTCTCCATAAGTGGTTTGATTTACAGGATTACTGTGGCCACAGCTTCTCTAAAAAGGAGCATGACCTATCTTTGCCTCCTACAGAAGTGACTATTTCCAGGGAACTGTTTCACCTTAGGAGTGACTATCTCCATGGAATGTTTTACCTTAGGAGGCAGTAGTTCTCATCATTTTTCCTTTCCTTACATACAGTAGCATAGTAGCTTTTATAGTAGCATTTAACAAAAAAAAGGAAAAAAAAAATTCCTTCCAGGTGCACACAATATTTGTAACCATTCTGTACGCCTTATATTTTCATTAAATCAACATACCTAAGATACTGTATGAAGAACATACTCACTGGACTATGTAACAGTTACTTCTCTGGTATGGCTCATCTCCTTGTGTTAGCACAGCTTCTTTTCTATGCAGATTTTTTTGCTGTGCAGTTGACAAGAGAGTACAAGTCTTTATCGAGATATTAACTCTCTCTCTCTCTCTTAAACTGATACCATTTCTAGCCAGACATACTCACAGCTGTTTTTAAATTTGCCTTGATTTTAATAGTCTCTTTAAAAAGAGATTTTTTTTGCATTATCACTGATAATGCAAAAAATGTACATTTCAAACTAGATACGTCCAGAAGAAATTATAATGCGTAATTCATCTGTGAATATATAAAAGTCATTAGTTGCTTTAATAAAGTGAGAATCACTGAGTTAAATGAAGTAAAGATGGATGCAACTATTTTGATAAAGAATGTAATTTTATCTTTTTATTTGTCATTTCTCAACAGAGAGAAAGTAAACCACTATCTCCAGAGGAAGCAGCTGACCTCTGTAGAATGCAGTGTCTCACAGTGGTTTTTCTTATTCATATGCCTCTTTCACAGAGAGCTCAAATGAGGGTCATCAAATCATGTTGGACTGAGAGAGTTTTGCCATTAATAAAAATGGTACGTGTAGCACTGTCTTACTTCCACTGTCATCAGGTGCAATCATCATTTCACTTTTCCATTGTCTTTATATGGTGCTTAGTCCTCTGATAAGACCAAAGGATATTATGTATCTGCTGGAAAGAGTCTCATTCTGGTTCAGGAAACCACAAATCACTTGGGCTATGAGAATGTTAAGAATATGCCTGTATATTTGACCTCTTCTTTAGGCATCTACTGTTGGCAAGCCTTAGTGACAGTGTGCTGGGCTAGGCAGACCTTTTGGTTTCACCCCATACAGAAATGCTGATGGCAGGTCTTTATGTTAAATTTAGTTATTTATATAGTAAAGGAGAGCAGTGAAGTCTGTTAGCTAAAATTATGCCATCAAGAGGTCACGTAATTTGTGTTATCTTCCTTGTCCATAAAATTTGCGGTAGTTAACCTTATTTTTCAGATGCTTTGATCCCCTCATATGAAAAAGTCGCTATAAGTTTTTTTGGTTTGGTTTAACAGCATGAGCTTTGTGCACATTTTGTTCTGAAATGTCTAAGTGATATGAACAATTGGAAATTGGATTTAACCTATCTGCCTGACTTAAGTGATAACTCACTGCTCAGAAACCTTGCACTTTACTATGAGACAGAAGACTGTAAAGGTATTTGTCGTTTTGTATTTCTAAATTCGTTAAGATGCAAGATGAAAATAAAAATGTTTGCACAAGCACATATTAGCATAATTTCCTGATTATCAGGTATAAAAATGGATCAACTTGATGGAATAACAGGGAAACATTTTGCTCAGAGGTGAGTGCAGAAAATCACTAATTCAAGCATGTCTCAGCAGTATTTATTGAGGATACTTTCCCGTGTTGTAAGTCACTTGTGGTTCTGCAAAGGCAGAGTAACACAGCATAGGTAGTAAGAGCTCTGTATCACTGTTACTGGGTAGTCTCAACTTGTTTGTTATTTTTAGCCAGCTTCTTATCCATTTAATTTTGTCTTAGTGGAGCACAGTCAGAATGGGGACTAGAGTTTGTCTGTAATGTCACTATGACATCAGATTTTTTTTGGTTTCAAATAAGACTGATTCAAAATCTTTCATTTTCTTACAAATGCATGAGTTGGGGAAACATTACAAAAGCTGACAGAACAACAGGATATGAATAAACACTTTTTGTAGGTAATTCTTTTTATCTGCCATCCTCTGCTCTGAGCACAGGCAGTCTGTCTGAAAGTCAGATAGAAGTTTCTCTTTATGAATCAGGTGACCACATCTCTATGTACCTCAGTAAAGCAAGTTTGGAGGATTTTTCTAAGGGAAATAAAAAAAACTAGAAGTATTGAAAACTGCGTAATTGTCTTTAGTATTTATTAGGCTCTGAAAATAAATTTCTGATTTGCCTTTCAAAAGAGGAGAGACATGCTTTTTTCCATGGAGAGAGAACTTGTGTACTTCCATAGACAGTCTAAATCTGATGTTCTTTGCAAATTAGTTTTTTTTCAGCACACCTAGTTATATATATTATGACCTATTAATAGTGTGTCACACATTCAGTTTTTATAGTTGGTTTTAACGTCCAAGGACCTTGGAATAGGTTTGATTGATTCTATTCAACAGAATAGGTAGGTTTTGTCTGTGGAAACCTTAATTGTAGAGCCCTTAATTGTAGAGCATCTTTTTCTTTTTTCTTTTCCTCTGTGCAGGTTTAAAGTTTCAAAAAAAGCTGGGAAAAGACATAGAGAAAGAATACCGTTTTTTATGGGATACTGTAAACAAGTTGGCTGTGAAATATGATTTTGGAGGTGCTTTCCCAGTACGAAATACCTCACAGCTATTTCTTGAACAGAAACAGCGATTTTTTAGAGGTACTAACAACTCCACAAAATAGAGAGTTTGCAGAATTATCTTTATTATCAGTAAAACTTTGGGAGTAGTAATATGATTGTATCCTGATTCACAAACTAATCTGGGCTTTGTGGCTCCTCTCCTGCTTCCTTTGACCTCGTTAGCAAAGCTGGTAACTGATGCTAAAGTAAGTCTGAGCAGGCCTTATGGGAGACATTCAAACACCACTGTAGACCCCATGTTGTGGGACTAGTAAACCTCTGCTTACTGCTTAGCATGTTTTCCTTGATCAACTCTCATTTAAAATTTTGCTTGACAGAAATTTCAAAATATGACATGCAATTTTATATATATAAATGTAATTAAGCAGAATTAACATTTTTTATGGTGTAAAGAATGTGAAGAAGAAATTCCTCACGTTGGACTAATCCCACTGAAATGTGATCTTGTTGAAGAGTATGCAGGAGATGTTTTGAAAAGTCTACCTGTTTTAGAAAGGTACGTATATAACTTCTGTAATAAAAAAATAAGATTATATTTGCTTATTTTCTACTCTACTACTTTTTACATTCGTATTATGCTCAATTTGTAGACATATGTGGCACAATGAGATTCCACGTGTATATGTGCTAATTTAAATATTAACAAAAAGTTCAGAACAAAAGTAAGAGTCAGTATCTACATATTTTCTCATGTGGTTATTTGGTTGCATTACAGTCTGACTATTCTTATTCTACACACTGAAATTGCTGTTCTTGTGTACAATTTCTGTTTGAAGGACCTAGTTTAGTACCAGAAGTTGAAACTGATTCTAGTGAAAGAAAAATACTGAATAAAAATCATGAACATTTGTCTTACCCTGCTACTTGTGGAGGTGGGTTTGCTGCTGCACAATGAGTATTTTTTTTATGCACTAGGTGAAAACTTAGGCTTCTTTTAAAGGATTTTTGTCAGTTATGTAAGCTGAATGAAGGTACTTTGAAAGTGGGATTTTACTTTTATTGTTAATAATTCTTTCTGAAAAATTGAAAATATTTTGACATACTATATTTAGAGAGGAATTAAATTGTGTGTTGGCTTTTGGCTTCATTATTATTTTGATAATACCCATTTTCTAAAATGAATATTAGATGTCAGAAAACTCTTAAAATTTCTAGTCTGATTAATGTTCGTATGTTTCAGCAATGATCCTGCAATTACTTCCCTAATAACACGCAAAGAATTTGATGAACTTCGTCACTGGCATTCTGGCAAACCTCTGACTGAGGAATACGAGAGAGCTCAGCGCGCTGCTGAGGGTAAGAACTATCAAAGCTCACAAACCTGTGTTGGCTAGAGCCATATTGTCAAAGTAATCACAGTTTTGGAGAATGACTTGTCATTTCAGGAAATATTCACATCCACATAAATACTTATCAAGCTAGAACATTTGCAATAGTTCACTTACACTTAAATTGATGAATGTATGCATTTTGTGCAGGGATTGTGTATTATCTTGAATAGCTCTGGCAAGTATGATACAATGAGCACTTCTAGTCAGATGTACATCAAATACATCTACAGTTTGTTTACACGCACATATAAAAGGGCTGTGAAGTATTCTGCAAGCACAAGGGAGTATGGGCAATTTAATATTTACATATATAGTTCGGCTAATTTCTTATTAAGCTAATGAATATATATGCGTAATCTACTCAGATGTTTGCACAGTGGATGCATAGCCAATCCTGTTGTTTAAGAACAGCATGAAAATATAAAGTAAAAGAAGTAAGCAGCAGTTAGTTGTATCAAAAGAACCATAATTTTCTGGAAGTTTTTATCCATCTGAGACACTAAGGAAAACAAACCACAGGCTTATTTTTGAGCTTAGGTTTGCACATTTATGTTAAATGAAGTGTATAGTTCTGTGCATACCAGGACGTACAAAAAGCTTTTACTCAAAGATACTACTGTCGTCTACTGCATCATACAGTGGATTAAGCTGAGAAGAACCTACCAGGTAACAGGAAGTCATGGATTACTTATTGCTATTTTGGTGCTGCTCATGGTTTTCTTTTTTTTTTTTTTTTTCTGAAGCCAGGATTCCTTCTGGTCATTTTTTTTGACTGCAGTTCTTTGCAGTTCTCCTCGCACTGTGGTTTCAAAGGCAAATTTATAGAGCAGTCACTGTCACAGGGAAGTAGCCAGAGCATTTTTCCGTAATGCTAGAGTTGAAGTTTTATATCTTGTCCAGCTGAAGAGGGTAGTCTGTATTTGCCATACTTGAGTACTCTGTTGATGTGTACCATTCCTTCAGTCCTGTTTAAATCAGAAAGAGTGATCCCTTCTGAGATGTATATTCACACTAAGGGACTGACTCAGCATTTAGATTTTTTGGGGAGAGAAATACTTTGGGATGAGTACGTAAGTATTTCTGTACTCAATATCATCCATTGGCTAGCATTACGTGTTTTTTTTCAGTAGTAGTATTTTTTATGTTCTGATGACAGTCTATTTTTTTGAGGCAAAGTTCTCTATTTGATGATCTGAATTGCTTTTTTAGAACAACTGCCTAGTTTCATGGACTGTATAGGAAATCCAGCTGTTTTGCTCAAATGCTTACAGTTTCTTTCTTGGGGTCCTGCTTGTTAAGTTTTGTAGTGCTTTTGGTGTGTGCTTAGGGTGGTCTGAATTTGAGCCCATATTCCAGATAAAAAGTATTGTTGAAGTTTGGTGAGTCTTAGTAGCCAGTCTCTTCAAAAATGTGGATTTTGCCTTTTACATCAATGAGGAACTTAAGGTAATGTTAGCCCTTACACAGTGGAATTTATCTGTGTTTTTTTTCATCAAATATATTTGTCTGCTGCAATATCCAAAGATCCATATGAAAGAAGACAAATACAAAAGCTACAGACTTTCTATCGTTTTTATGGAAGCACTTTGGAAAGCAGCACTTCAAAGACTATTGTTTACCAAGGGGCTGTGCCCGCGAATGCTAATGCTGCTGACAAAAAGACAAAGAAGACACGTGTGAGTCTATTCAAGCTGCTCATTGCAAATCTGCTTTTTCTATCCAGGAAAGAGTTTCTGCTACATAATTCCCATGAAATGTCTTGCTTTTAATGCAACTTCTCCATTGAATAAATTAAGTTATCTTTATACCTGAAGTTTAATTGCTTAATTTGCAAAAATACTTTTTATTGCTAGTTGTATTATTGAGTGATAGTATTTTAATAAGCACCAGATAATTAAAAATGTGATAAATGCAAAGTCCGTAAAGGCTGATAGGTTTGGGCCAACCTATCTGCCGGCTAGTGAACAAGACGTTCCTGAAGTGAACGAGAAAGGATTTAAGCAATTTTATTTGATATTTACAAAGTCCTGGACAATACCGTAAAGTTCACTATTTATTTCCCTGTATTATTTAGAAATGTCAGACATGTTTCTGAAGAAAATATCCTTCAGAACATTACAATTCTAGCTAGAACAGTATGTGAATATTTTGTGACTTCACAGGATTTGTAAGAGGCATACTAATGAAGAATACAAAGCAAAAATAATTGGAGTAATATTTCAAAATAGAGAGTACTATTTTTATTTTAGTACTGATTGTAGATTATGGCCTCTTTAACCACCAAAAGTCTATTTAGACCAATTTCTTAACCTCAATTAAGATTGAATTCTGAATTGTTGGTAATTTATTGAGAAAATCTCAATATGGTTAGAATTTCTATTACCTATGGATGAAATAAAAGCTTAATATTTAACTTTCAGGCATCTGCTATTTTATTTTTTTACCTTTGTGCACTTTCATATTATTTGAGAAGGAGATGCTTTCTACTGACATTTATAATGAATTTTGAGTAAGCTTGTTGCACAAAATATACTGTCATCCAGAAATTATGTCTCCCTCAGAATCCGGAGATATCTTAATTTCCAAAACATAACACAACACACAGATGAACTGAAAACTGGAATGTACTTACAGTGATTATATGTAAATTACTTACAGCAAGGATTTTTTTCATCTGATACTTGCATGATGCTTGTTATGTCTGAATATTTTATTTTTTTGGATAGAAAAGTAAAGCAGAAATAATTGCAGAAGAAAACATGAAGCGACTAAACATTATAAAAGAAAAGAAAGAGCAAGAGCAATGGGAAGCCTTCAGAATGTCAATTAAGAAGGAAATAAAGCAGAATCCGACTGTTGGAATAGATAAATTAGAGAAGTTTCTCAAGACCCTTCACATCAAATCTGTGAAGCTGAGAACAGAAATAGCAGGGCTGTCAGCCTGTTCGGAAGCGTGGAAGGCACACTGCAGAAAGCAAGGTATGATGGCCACATTGCAAATCATGTATTGTGTATGTCTTCAATGAAAGTGTATCATGCACACTAAAGTACATCCATGTCACAGTATTTAGTTTGCAGAGGTGGTTAGTATTAAGAGTGATGACTTGCATAGCAATCCCTGTAGCCATTATTAGAGATGTGCAATTCCACTAGAATTAGTTTGTTTATTCCTTACCCTAAGTCAGGAATGTCAAACTGGAGCTGCATGCAGCCTGTAACTTGTCGGGCCAGGTTTTTCGATAGCCATCAGCAGCTTGGCTTCTTTTCGGTAGCTTTGCTTGCAAGGGCAGAATAGATGAGTTTTGGTCTTTACAAGCACTCTTGTATAGGTCACATGAGCGTGAGTAGTCTTCCTCTGGTTGTCTTTAAATAAAGTGCTTTTTAAATTTGTCGTAAATGTTTTCGGATGGAGAAGGTCTTTTAAAACACATGATATTCTTCAGTGATGCTGTCAACTCTCAAATAATATTTTTTAAAGGTAAGAGTCCTAAAGATTTAAGCATTGCTGTCCAAGTGATGAGGAGAGTTCATATCCTCCTTGAAAAATACCAGGATCTCTTGGAGAAACCACACTTAGAAAAGCTCATCAGATGTCTAAGACGTCTTGGATTCGAGAATTTGGCATGCTCTTTGTCTGGACAGGTAACTTTATAGAATATAGTTATTCTACTGAAATGGCGTATCAGCGATGTTTTATTAAGCATTGAATGGTGTGCTTAAGATCTATACTAAGCTTATTCTATTTTGCATTGTGCCATAAGATTTGGAGTTGTCTGTTCTTGCTTAGAAAATCAAAATTCTTTTGATATAGTGGCTATCTGGTACAAAAAAAAATCTTCTGCTAGAGTAACTAGAACTTGCTGCAAAGACAGACATTTGTCTGAGTCCTTGGTCATCTCTGAGAATTGCCTGTTGTTCCACTCATCACAGTCAACTGTGCTCTTCATGTTAAAAAACAACTGTTAAAAGCTAATCTATGAAGAGCTGCTTTTTAACAGTCCCAACTGTGCTAATTTAGAAAAGGAAATCTTTTGAGACTGTTGACGTGGATGAAAGCTGTTTTCTTTGTGATTATGATTATTACTGATCGCTTCTGAAGGAAATGGTTTCAAATACTCAGTTGCGCTCTGAAGTTAGAAACTGAGATGCACAGTTACTGTCAACATTTTTGAAGGACTCACCTTATGCTTTTCTGCATATTAGCAGCCTTTTCACTGAGTGGTTTAATGGTAAGAGCAGTTTGGTACCTTTGTGCGTAAATGGGATGTTAGTGTGGAGAGGGGGTGCCAAAGTGCGTGCCAAAGTGGTCTCAAGTGTGCGAGGAGATAACTCACAGGATGCAGAATATGATTTCATTAGCAGAAGGAAGGAGGATTACAGTGAGCAATCAATCCAGTATCACTGGAGTATCTAATTTTTAATGTTCAGTAGAGTTAGAAACTTTTGGAAGATCATTTGTTTTGTAAGAAATCTTCTGCTGAAGTGCAAGTTGTTTGTTTGTTTTGGTGTATGTGTGTGTGTGTGAATTCCACTGGTGTATGATGGCTCTTTGCCCTTGTTACATAAGCTTTGTAAGTGTGCTTTGTGCTGTCAATAAAATATATTGCATTTCAGGAAGCAGACTTGTAGGATCCCCAAATCTCAAAAGGTCTGCTGTAGAGGAGGATTGTGGTGATAGAGGGGAGATGTTGGAAAGTTCGAAGTGTCTAGCTCAGATATAGGTAGTTGGACTAGTAGACCTCCATAGGACTCTGCTAATCTAATTTTTTCTGTGACTCTGTGATCTTTTGGTATAAGTTTTAAGATTTAAAAACTTCTCTATAGCTTTCAGGATTGAGTGGTGTAACTGGACATGATGGGGAATTTTACATTTGGCATGTTTTAGGATATATAGGCATTGATTGAAAATATGCTTTACAAAAACATGGGGTCACACTCAGCACTTGATCTTTTATATTGAATTTCATTTTGCAATGCACAAGACTATATGGTGTGAATTTCTGCAGGAAATAATCTAAAAATACATTTTTATATCCTTTTCAAAGCTCACACTGAGTTCTAAAGAACAAAATCTCTGCAATTTTTTTGAGTCTCTTCCTAGTTTTCAAAACACCTTGAATTTTAATTGGACCTTGTAGGTAAGAGAAAGTGATGATCAGCGTATAAACATCTATGCTACTGAAGTGGGACCAGCTCGTTTTCAGCTACAATATATGGACTATTACTTGCTCAGAGAAGAGAGAAATGATCCAGATCCTAGAGTGCAGCATTTCATACCAGACACATGGCAGGTGATTAAACACAAATCATTTGTGTATAACATTATTGGATATGATTTCTGATATTTTTTCCCCTACTTAAAAATAGATGTTTTTGCACTTCTTGTGTTCTAAGTTTAGCAAATTCAGTAGATTGTTTTGAACTCTGTTCCACATTCCTTTCTACACGTTTTTTTTCCGTTGAGACCTTGGTCCTAGGAATACAACCTCTGAAATACCAAATCCATGGGATTTCACTGTTCAGCACCATATTTAATGGTGGATTACCCTTTGGATAACCTGCTTGGTTGGTTGGTTTATTTTGTTTTCATTCTCTGCTCTTTTGACTTTAAGGAGTAGCTGGTAACATGAGTTGAGAAATGATATGTTACTATCATAGAATATGTTAGTAATATTTATCTTTTCTCTTCTGTATCCTTTGTCCCATCCTTTTACAGACATATTTAAGATGAGACAGCTTAGAGGAATAGGGAGAAAGACAAAATAATAAACAGTGTATACTAAGAGCAGAAGAGAAGTTTGGGCAGTGTTAATGTAACTTTCATAATGCAAGAAAAATACATTGTATAAAACAGTGATTTTTTTCTTCTAATATACTTCAGAGTTGATTTGTTTTGTTTTCCATTTTTAAAATACCCACTTTTGGAGTGAGAGTTCTGGTATCAATATCTTGGAGCAATTCATTGAAATGGATAATTCATCATTTGCAGTATCATGTTTTTTACCTTCTTTACCTTCTGTAGTCTCAGTTGTAAAAAAAATAAGAGGTGTTTTCATAGAAAGAACTCGTTTAATCAATGAGAACTTCCTAACAGGACACTTGAGACATAAGCAACTCCTTTTCTGTCTTAGCGAGACCTTCTTGATGCTGTAGATAATAATGAGTCTGCAGTGATTGTTGCTCCCACTTCATCGGGAAAAACATATGCTTCATACTATTGCATGGAAAAAGTTCTGAAAACAAGCAATGAAGGAGTAGTTGTGTATGTTGCTCCTACAAAGGTAAGGCTGCATTTTACTACATATTCTGTATGTATAGCTTTTGAATTCAAACCCATATAACGGTTTTTCTGTGTTAATATCTACATAGCTATTTTAAGATATGTGAAAATGTGCTAGAAATAACCTTTTAGGTAAAGGGTAAAAATGCCAGAGGCCTAAGAGCATAGTGAAAGTGATACTAGAACAGAAAAATGGCCAAGCAGGGCAAGTTGTCTGTTTCCAATGGAGCTGACCATTAGATGGTGGAAGAGAAAGTTTAAAAAACTCTAGATAGTTGTGAGACTTTTTTTTTTAAACAATGAATTGTACTAGTATTTAAAAATAGACTTAAGAGCTAAAGCATGGTGTTTTGATTCCCTCCAAAATTTACTTTAACATCAGTACAAGCTTTGGATAACAGTTGAAGCCTGAGAATGAATATACAATTACATGTACCATTATTCAGTAATAATCTCTCTGGATTGGTTTATATAAATAAAACCAAATTTGTATGGATATACTCAAGTTGATATCAAATTGCTGTTTTAATTTAAATATCAGAACCTGAGTTCAGAACTTAGGTGTTTACACTTGTGGCCCTACGACTTGGAGATCGTGAAAGTGCTTGTAGATGCAGTAGAATGTTACTAGTTTTTCAGCCATTCTAATAATAATTAAAATACTGAAGTAATACTGTATAATCCACCACTTCACACAACACTAAATTTCTTTGAAAGCATTTTGAGTATAATGGAAAATCTCAATAATAAACTGAGTTTAATTTTCAGTGTTGAAATTCTTGACAGTCTGGGCTTGTAAATGAATATCAGTGCCAATACTGAAAACTTTTCTATGTATCAGAATGTTATATAAGTTTGGATATGCTCCCAGTTTTATTAATGACCTGTTTTACTTAAGGCTCTTGTAAACCAAGTGATGGGAATTGTATATAGCCGATTCACCAAGAAACTTCCTGATGGATTGGCGGTGTGTGGAGTCTTCACACGGGATTATAACCGTGATGTCATGAATTGTCAGGTATGTTTATGGATGTTTTAATATATAACAACGACGCCCTTTCGTATATCGTGTGGCTTCTAAAAATGTTACTTCTGGAAACATTGCACTGGTCAGTTACTCTAGTTAAATTAATTAAAATCCTTTGGGCACCAGTATATATCCAATGCAAACCCAGACAAATGAAGGGATGCTCTTTTCCTTCTCTTATCCTGATTGTGTGACATATAGTCCTTATAGGCCTTACTGACATCAGCCTCTCATTAAATAGCCCTGCCTGCTGCATTTTCTATATTTAATCTATTTTCACTAGCTAGTGTGGATGAAAATCACTTATAAATTCTAGTGAAAAGTTAGAGTTCAGACTCTGAAAATCTTGGAAATAAATTAGGTAGATTTGGCTCACAGCTGGACAAAGATTGAAACATACTGATGATTTGAACTGAGAAGCAAGGTAAGGTCTTAATTTTAACCAAGGTGATAATTTGCTACTGCTGTTGCTGTGGAAAGCTTTGAGAGACTTTGATAGCAGTATAAAGGCCTAGAATAAATAGGATTAAACTTAATATATATTATAGATATAGTATATTTTGTCTGTAGCCATTAACCTTTTGAAAGCTTGTTAGTGAAAGGTACAATGAAAATGAACATTGCTATTATCTTGGCACTGGAGTTCATGTTTTTTTCCCTTTTGCAAGTTGCTTTCTTTCAAGCCAGCATTTTTTTATTCTTAAATAGAAGTATTTAAAAAGAAAACTGATAAAATAAATAGAACTTTCTTATTCATGGTAAAAATACCTTAGACACAATCCCGCTTCCTCTACTAATGGCTGAAGTGAAAAAACATCAACTATAGGGTACGTTTGGGCTCCTAGCAGCTGCTCTCGCGCCTTGTTGCAGTTATAAAGTTGTTTGGAAGGTGATTCTATACAGGTTAGTCATTCTTGCTTATCTTGAAATCAAATATATTTTAATAATAAAGCAATCTTCCTATTTTTTTTTGTCAGTTTACTGGAAAATAATGTTTACAAATCTTTCTTAGATACTGGTCACTGTGCCTCAGTGTTTAGAAATCCTGATGCTGTCCCCTCACTGCCAGGAATGGACCAAGCGGATACAATATGTTATATTTGATGAGGTAGATGGCTTTTAATACTAAGCAATTTAACAAATATAAGAAAAAATGCCAAAGACTAATTTTTCATTATGTGTTTTATTTAGTTTAAAACAAAATTTCCAGAAATATTATTTCAGACTTCTAGCTTGTCAGACATAAATATGTTTTGCTTATTCATGGTAGCTAATAGTGTTTATGTATTCTAGTAAAGGAATTGGAACTGTATGACCTCCTGGGGACTATCAGATTTCTAATGAAAGCTACCAGGAACTTGCCTTATTTCTCTCAAGATAGTCAATTGAAAAACTAAAGGAACATTCCAGAGCTATATCATAAATATTTGATGCGATAAGGTTAATTTTGCCAGGGAAAAAGTCAGTGATTAATTCTGCTGTATTTAATGTTCAGACTGCACTCTTATTTCTTGTGAATTAAATTAATTGCTAATGCTGCCAGTGAGTATCTAGGGTACAAATAATAGATGTAATTTCAAAATTTAGACTAATTCACTGTTCAATGAAGTCTAGAGAGACATTTACTGGACATTTGATTTGGGTCTTGTGGTTGTTTGCTACGACATAAGAATTATTAAGTAGTGATCTTGCAAAAATGTATTGCAAAACACAAGCCAGTTATACTATGGGTGCATTTTGACAAAGAAGACTTCTCCTTTTCACCAATTGTCTTTGTACAGATCCATTGCCTTGGTGGTGAAATTGGAGCAGAGGTTTGGGAGCATCTTCTGGTAACAATTCGGTGTCCATTTTTGGCACTGTCTGCTACTGTCAGTAACCCAGAGCACCTAACTGAGTATGTTGGAGTTTTCTTGCTCAAAAGGGCATATTTAAATTGTATATGAACTTTTTTGGACAGAGAAGTCAATTACTATTTGGAGACAAGAGATACAGTTGCATTGCTATACCTTTTAGGCCACCCTTACCTTCCCACTTGACCCCAGATAATACTGTAGCTCTTAACTTCTTGTAATGAGAGCAGAAAGTTCCTTCTGGCCCTTTAGGTTATTAGGAAAGAAGAATGTAGGAGGCCCATACATCTCCTTGAAGTGTCAAAGCCTGATAAGCACAGCGGCCCATCATTGATCAAGGAAGATACCTGTACTATATGTTTGTATGATGCAAACATTTTGACACTTATGCTTTGCAACCTGAGATACATTGGAAAAAAAAGCACTAAATATGGTTGGTAGAGACTGGAGTTAGAAATCCAGCATGTTTCAGTAGTAATCTATCTACTTTAGTTGTAGTAGTTTTATTAAAACGTTTTCTAAGTGTTAGCTTCTCTTTTTTTTTTTTTTTTAATTTTCAACTATAGGTGGTTACAAACTGTGAAAAGGTATTGGCAGCGTGCTGAGAAAACAATGGAAAAAAGCTCTAAACACTCTAAAGAGAATTCTTCAAGAAAATGCAAAGTGAAATCGAAAGTACAAGAACAAAAAAAATCATATCATGTTAGACTGGGTGTGTATCAGGAATTTTTTAAACTAAAAAAATACTTCTTGGTGTGAAAACTTTAACTTCTTTTCTGAAAACTTCAGTAAGTGCATGAACTTAAGCATATATATTTTTTTAAGTAAATACAAATCTCTTCAGGATTATATGCCTGTTTTTTGTAGCAGTCGGATGTATCATGGTGGCATTTTTGTCTATCTACAGTTCTATATGGAGAGAGATACAACGATTTAGAAAAGTACGTGTGTTCTGTAAAGGACACTGATTTTCTTATTGAACATTATCACCCATGTGCTGCATTAACAGTCAATCACGTAAGCAAAATACTGGTGTCAGGCGTGTTCATCAGCTGTTGCAGTAAGCAACAAGATTTCCTTTAAAATGGCTCCATTATTTATATTTTATATTTTAACCTCCTTGCAGATTGCAAGCTATGGTTTTCCTTCAGACCTGTCGCTGTCACCACGAGAGAGCATCCAGCTGTATGACACAATGGTAGAAATCTGGCAGGAGTGGCCAAGGGCACAGGTGAGTATAAATGGTCGTGTATGGAATATATCAACAGAAATAGAAAAGAAAGTATTACATTTTTTGTTACTGGTATTTTCAAGGAGCTAGATCCTGAGGAGTTTGTCCTTTTCAAGAACAAAGTGGTAATAAAGAAGATGGATGTGAGGAAGTATGAACAAGAACTGAAGAAAGAGCTAACCGAATGGATTGCAGTTGGCCAAGGACAAAAGGTAACAGTTGTTACAGGAGAGCTTTCTCAAAGTTTATATATGGTTTCAATGTAATTTATTATATAATAATTATATATAATAATGTTTAAATAAATGTGTTTTTATTAGGTGCAAATACTGCTTTGCTGAAAAATAAATGTTAATACTTGTGGCGTTTCCATAAGCATTTTCAAGGTGATGTTTCACAAGCTTCTTTGGGAATTAGACTTTTGATAGTAAGCAAGGTTTCAATTCCTGATTCCCTTGGGTACAGTTAAAACTTCAGTCAGCTTTGTTTTTACTGCCTATTTGAATCCTTTTCTATAACCACAGGTAGTAAATATGTTTCTGTGTAAATGACAGAAATGAAAACAATGAGCAGAAAATCAAGTCCTTAATTAGAGGTGAACTGTTTATATATCATAAAAAGGAGTTTGAAGAAGCAGCGGATCAACAACAAGAAAACAACTATGAAATTCAGGAAATACATTTAAGTATCACATTCTTAAAGAAAAAAAAAGTTTAAGACATACTGTAATTTGTCTATTAACGATGCTTTATTAACTGTACAGTTGTGACAGCCAAGAACATTGCAACAGTTTGTATTTCGAGTTTTTATTGAACTCAGTTTATGTTGTACACACCTTTTAGTCTGTAAACTGTGGTTATTGCAGTTAGAAGCTGATGCAGAAAAATGAAGACCTGATCTTCATTAGCCTCCAAGCAGAAGTTTCTGTTGCTAAAATTTGTTCAATGATAATTCTTTGGTCAGGTTCATGAGCTACTAGAGCATCTTAAGCCCAGACCCATGGATTGCTCAAAAGAGAATAAGTGGGCCAATTTTGCCTGCTTTGTTGACAAGTTGCATGAGATGGATAAATTGCCTGCTATATTTTTTATGTAAGTATTACATTCCATATATTATATCTATATTTCCTAGACTCAAAAAAGTGGGTATTGGAGGTGAGACTTGACAGCTTGTCAGCATTTATATGGTAAATGCTAGCTTTGTTTTAAAAATGTATGAAATAAGGAGGGTGCGTGCATACTCTCGTTGTAATAAGGCATAGGAATAATTGCTTAAAATGAAAGGTTTGCTCAGCGTCAGGGGTCTTGCTCTTCCTTATACTGGTCACCTTCATAGTTAGGGTCCCCCCTACAGCATGTGATGCTGTTTCAATTCTCACATGTCTTATGCTGGTGAAATGGATTTTCTAAGAGGTCTCTAGAAAGGAAGAAGAAAAAAGCAAGTATTCATGTAAATGACACATTTCAAAGGACTGTAGTTGCTGGTAAATTGCATCTTTTTTCTAACTTTCAGTGACAGTCCAATTGTAATTATTATTCCTATGGCTGATATTAGGCAGCATCCAATAGTTTTCCAAATCAGACTTTGATATTTGTAGTTCTTTCACATAAGAGGACTACGCTGTGAAATGCAGCATGATTTGGGGGTGATTATTGGCAGTTACAAGCCGCTTCTGCTTTAGAAAGCTGAAGTGCTTTCCCCTCACCTACCCTAGAATTGCAGGTCCTTAGAAATTTCTGGTGGGTAATGGTTCTTAGGGTTTTGTGTAGAGCCAAATTATTTATTGCAGCAATTGATGGTAGAAAAAAAAAGAAAAATGTCAGTGTTTAGAGTTTGCTTTTTGTTGCGGGGTAGAACCACCAGAGAGAGGAGCAGATTGGCACCAGATTTGTGTTTCTTATGACCAAGAGATGGAAAGAACTTACATCGCTTGCTCTGAGTTTCAAAGGGATAGAAAAGTAAATGGAAATGATTCTTTTTGAGCTCTTTTATCCACGACAGCTTAATTTAAGGAGAAATTATCCCCTGTTATTAGTAACTGTGTTTCGTCTTTCTGAGGATCAAGTCTTTCATTTTTTGCTCCTGGTAACTGCTGCAACAGGAATAAAAAAATAAGTATTCCTTGAGAGTGAAGACAGAGAAGTTTTCATCACAGTTAAACCCCAAACAGTCCAGTATTGGAAGAAAAAGCGTATATATATATGAGGAAGAACAGCTGTGTAGATGACCAAGAAAGCAAGGATTCATTCTCGGCGTTCTCCCGTTTGAGAAGAATTAAAATGGCCTAAGGTGTATAGGCTGATTTGTACATCCAAGTGTTTAGCTTAGGGGAGGGTAGAACTGAGTGTGCTTTCTATATATAATTCACTGTCAGAACCATTTCACATTTTACTATAACATTTTTGAATTACTGCAATTTGAAGGTGAATGTGGCTTTGATTTGGAGAATAGGGGATGTGCTTCTAATGAATACGATTATCCATTTTTAGGTATAAGAGCTGATTGAATATTATCATAACTGCATGCTTATAAATAAAAATTCTGTTGGAATTCACTTAACTAATGTATATTATGTATTGTTTATTTTAAGTTTTAACATAAATTCAGTGGAGGAGGCAGCCCGGAGCGTATATGCCAATTTGAAGGAAAAACAAAAAAATGAACAAGACCCTAAGTTGCTCTCTGATATTGAGAGAGCAAAAGAAAATGTGAGAGAGCAACTAAGAAAAGTGAATAAGGAGCTAAGGAAATACCACATTTCGTAAGTATTACAACGATATACTATTAAAAAGCTCGTGTATTATCACAGAGCATCATTTGGTGCTAAGATGCTCCCGGGACTGTGCGTCCACGCGTGCAGCTGTAGGTGCAGTAGCCCCACGTCCCGTGCGTGCTCCGCTGCCCGTGCTGCGGGAGCAGCTCTTTGGCAGCTCCGGTGAGCAGGCTCTCGGGCACAGCCCCGCAGCAGGGACACCACTGCCACTGCCTTCCTGGAAGAGGCTGACACTAAAGCAGGAGTGTCAAAGAGAAATGAGTATGAGAGAGCGCCAATCTGGAGGAGCCTAGAATTGAGAGTTTCATTAGACCAGAACTTCTCCTTCTTCAGGCTTTTTTTTTGTGCTGTGACTTGAAACCAGTGTGGGGTCTGAACCTGTCCTGGGGCAGCTACTGTGGGAGAACATTTTCTTAGCTTAGCTTCTCCATGCATGGCTTCTTACAGTAGCAGAGCTCTGAGGAGTGGGCTCCCTTATGCCTGATGAGATGCCCTTTGAAAATGTCAGCCTTTTGCCTTCCTCTGTACCATTTGCGTAGATTTATTTCCCCACTAACTTTGAATGTAATTACTGGGTCTACAAGGATTGTCAGGAACACTAATCATCCCATATTCCACTCCTGATGACAGCAGCATTTCCTTCTTTGGTCATGATATCACAAAAGAATGAACTTTGCTCACTTCATGGAACTAACTTCAGAAAATCCAGTTGCAACTTAGACACATATTTAGACATTGAAGTATCATCTTGAATCTACCTCTGAATAGTTTTCCCTCTCTTCTTCAAATCCTTATAGTCCATGTTAATGTTATAATTGGCAGTAAATCTTATTTCTGCTTCATGTTGAGTTGTACTATAGAATTATTTTTACCTTATTAATTTGTAAAATTGAAGGCACTTTTATTGTGATACACAAAAATGATGGAAGATAAAGACAACCTGTAAATCTTCGCTATTTCAAACAGGGTTATATGCTGGAAGTGGTTAGCATTATAAGCAAATTTACATTAACATATTGTCACGGAACGAGTGGTGGTAGGGGTGAGTGACACAATGCACTTCACTTGTGGGAAAGAAATAGGAATAGGTTTTATTGTTAATGACAATGATTTCACGAGATTCTATGGCAAGGTCGCTTATTAGTTACTGCATGGAGGTTCAAGATACACACAGAATTATCAAGGACACCCTCCCGTTGGGTCACGAGGTTCAGATTGGACCCCCTTACTTTCCAGACTCCTTGTGAGAGGAGTCTGGGTGCGGCTGGATCCAGTCCTAGTCCCAGACCTGGTCAATGGTTTATGTCTAAGGGATTTGTGCACAGTTACAAAGTAAAGTTTACAAATTCAGAGAGAGAAAGGTGCGCTATAGTTACTTATCACGAACCTGTAGTGGGAAGGATCTCTTAACCTCGAGGTTAAATCCTTGAGAGGTGTCCCTGCTGAAGGGGAGATCCCAGGGTGCAGCCCGCTGCCATGCAAGGAGAGCTCGATGGGCTCTTGGGCTGTCCCCGTATTTATGGGATAAGATGATTGACTGATAGTCATTCTTTCAATTCAGAAATGACTGTTGGCTGGTGTACTCACATTTAGCCTTCAGAATAGGGTGGGGGAAGAAATCAGGGAGGCAACTACCAGGATCAGATATAATGTGGTAGTTAACACCTGAACAGGGCTATATGTGAGAAGTCAGGATGAACTGGGGAAGGAGCATATCCGTCACACATATATGCTTTTATGTTTGAACCTGGTGTTTAAAAAGGAGTGAATCTGCATCTTTTAGAATCAAAATCATGTTTTAAATTTGAGAAGTATATGTTCAAATGTCAATTGCAAAAATAATCATTTTATATTTTTTACAGTGTTATCCAAAAAATGGTTTCCAAGAAGGTAGAGAGTGTAATGCTTGCTCTGGCTGAAAAAGAACGCTTACAGAAAAGACTTAAAAAGCTTAATGGAATCCCTTCTGCATATACTTACGCCAATTCTAAGGCTGTGGATGAAGAGGTAATTCATTCACTGATATTTTTAACAAGTTTTTGGTATGTATGTCTACAATATGTAGGTTCATGCGTAAGTACATAAAACATGTAACGTGTGATTCAGCTGCACTTCATAACAGTAAGCAGTCTTTATGAAACTTTCTCTGAATATTTTAATTTAAGCTTTACTCCGAGTATCAATCTTAGGTGACTTTATTTTTATGATGTAGCTAGCTTTTCCCAGGACAGTGAGCAAGTCTTTTGGATCTGGGAGAGGTGGCACTTGGCTGAAGGCTGAAATTGAGAAAATCCTGAATAGTGCAGAGCTATTTCTGGGCTGGGGAAAGAGAGCCCTGGTCCCTGCACGGCAAGGCAGGGTGGAGGTGCCGAGAGCAGAGGGACCTCAGTGCCCAGGCTGCCTGGGAGCCCACTCGGTGCTTCAAGTTTACCAAAACTGATAAGCAGCTGCATCTCTCTGTCGTATTTGGAACTTTATCAGATAAAGTTTTCTTTTTCTCTTCACATTTTCTATTTTTCACTGGCAAAACTTGTTTGTAATTAATACTTAACCTTTGTGTTTGTTTGTAGACTTTGAACAAGATCTTGGATCGAGTTAAGCTTCAGAAGAAAGGTTATGAGCAGACAATGCTGGCACTGAGGGGCATTGGGTACCATCATGGCTCTATGTTCGCCAAGGAAAGACAAGTAGTGGAAATGCTCTTTAGGTTGGGTTATATTAAGGTCGGTGAATGAGAATCAGTTTATGGGCATTTTTTGTTTGTTTGTTTTGAAAACGCTTTGATTTTTCCACAGAATGTAATTAAAAAATATAAGATATCTTTCACCAGTGGTAAAATATGTCACATTCAGATTTGTTGTGCTCACTTTTTAAATGTTGATGTGAAGGGTTTCAAATTAATGAAATCAAGTAAATGAATTGGTAGCTGTAGAGCTTAATTTCTATGTAGAAATTGCTATGCTTCAGGTTAGCATATCACAATTAAATGTGTTCTAGTGAAATGAACTCCATAGGACTAAGATATATCCTTTTGTCTAAATATTATTTCCACTTGTGTTTCATAAAAAATAAGGTACAAACCTTCAAAATATGCAAGCATATTACTTATATGAAAAATAATAATTACATTCCTGTGAATCTGAGTGGGATATTACAGATCATTTTTTGATCAGATACTGTCATATCCAATAGATGTACTAATATTTGATACTTTTGTAGGTAGTCACAGCTACTGGATCACTCGCTTTAGGGATCAACATGCCTTGTAAATCTGTTGTCTTTGCTGAAGACTCTGTCTTTTTAGATGCCCTAAATTACAGACAGGTAATCTTGTTTGCATTACAAGTATAGTGCATATGTACCTATCGTCACACACAAATTTAGGGAGTATGTTTTCTTTTACATATATTTCTGTGTATATGCTGAGTTTTAGCTGTTCACTTCAGTGATAAAAATAATTTTAGCTAAGGTATTTTTACTGATGTTTCAAAAACGGCAGCCCCCAAAGAATGGGTAGACCTGTTTCAGCACTGAAAATACTGCAGTTGAATTAAAGGCATAAATTCAGCTTTCAGTTATGTGGGTCAGTAGGGAGGGAGATTCTTTTGCTTTAGCCAGATTGTTATAAAGCATACATGAAAAATATACTATAAGAACATAGAGGCAGAGCGGCAGCGGCTGCTGCAGCAGCAGGACCTGCCGGGCCAGGTGCCACACAGAGGTGGTTACTGGCCTGTATTGAAACAGCATAGATGGTAGCAGTATGCACAATTTAGATATATTCCATTTAAAAATGTATTAGTATAAACATTATTGTTACAAATATCCTCCTCTTAGATGTCAGGACGTGCTGGAAGACGTGGACAAGATATGATTGGAAATGTGTTCTTTTATGACATCCCACTGCCCAAGGTTGAAAGACTTATCAAATCCAGTGTGCCTCAACTGAAAGGCCAGTTTCCTCTGACAATTTCCTTAGTCCTGAGACTCATGCTGTTGTCTGCAAGGGCTGATGACAAAGCAGATGCCAGAGCAAAGGTATAGGACTTTTTAAAATAGTTATTTAATTTAATTATGGTATCCATTTAACTCAAGGAGAAAGATGCATTTCAAAAGTAAACAGTCATTCTCCAAGTGAAATTGCATATCCTGTTTCTTCCTCCTACATGGCAGTGTGTTGTGAATTTTCATGCACTTTTTTTGGCAAAAATATTATTATTTTAGAAAGGAAGGCATATTTACTTTAACTCTGGTATATAATATTTGCATTAACTACATTTGCAGAATCAGAAAATCTTGCAGATGAAGAGATTATTATTCTTGACTTTGGATGCAGTGGTATAGATAAACTGGCCATGATTACAAATAGTTCAAGGAGTCCCTTCTGTAGTCCTCCAGATACATATGGATATTTATTTTCAAGAATGTAAAAGATGAGCAAAAGATGCATTTAATGAATTCAAACATAACTGGCATCAGCTGTTTTGAGATGAAATAAATTAGTAGACTTCATGTAATTTTTAATATTTCAATAAAGCATATGGAACAATGTTCAAGATCCTGATTTTAGTTTAATGATGCAAGTATAAGTTCTTGATCCTATGAATTAGTAAATTAGTATATGAGCTTCATGTAATTAACTCCACATAGCTCAGTATAAATTAAAAACATGCAGATATCTGGCACATGCCAGACAAAGAATGGTCTTTTCACAAGAACTTGTGAAAAGGAGTTGGGTGCAAAAAAACAAACAAACAAACAAAACCCCAACCCACTGAGCATTTCTATCCTGAAAACTGAGTGATGAAGCAAACATAAAAACTGGATCTGAAAATTCTTTTTTTGTTACAACACAGACTTCCCCTCGTGTTGCTAATTTCTTGAGGTTTTATTCTTTGCCAGGTATTGTCCATCTTGAAGCACTCACTGATGTCCTTCAAGCAGGAAAGACATGCTGAACTCCTAAAAATCTATTTTATCTTTTCCTTGCAGTTTCTTATCAAAGAGGTAAGTTATCACTCATTGGAGACAGCAGTAGCCTGTAAATGTAGATTTTTTTTTTTCTTAAACCTACCAGCTCTCCAAGTTAAGAACCTCTGTGTGTGCTTAGTACTCTTTGACTTAGCACTGTTTATATTCCATAGCAACAGGCAAGCTTCTGTAGAAATTTGAGGAAATAAATACAATTAGAGGACTTTAAAGCCTGAGGTGTGTATTTTGTGGAATAAATTCAATGAGGAAAGTTTCATGGCATGGTCTATGTAACTGTGATCACATATTGATTTGGAAACTGAGAGTCGTACTGTGTGGTGTATGAAGCAGCCTCTATGTGAAATGACTGCAGTTTAAAACACTTTGAGAGTCATGTAACTTCCAAAATGCTGGGAGAAAATTATACTGCTTGACAAATAAATAGGAAACAGCTATTTGAAAGGCTGAAAATCAGCCGTGCATCTCTGCATAGCACTAGTGAATGTTGATGGATACTGTTCTGGCACTTCTTGTGCGTAACCCTGGCTTTGGGTTGCAGCCAGGGCTGCAGGCAGGGACGTGTAGCAGGGACGTGACAGCCCCTAGTCACCTGGGAGCAGCTTTCCTGGTCCTGCTCCCAGCAGAGCCCTCTTGGGGTCTGTCTGCCAATGGGTGTCTCTGGTGCAGGAGAGCAGGAGTCTGATGTTCCCACTGCTCAGGAGAATCCTCAGTCAGTGTGTCACAAAGAGCTGTGGCATTGGCCAAACCCAAGCCCATGTACCTGATACCTTGTCTCAAATTCTTTCAAAAGGTGAATATTTAAAAAAGGTGCACTAATATAATGATGATTCTCTAGATAGTCCCTGCTTCCTAAGTTGTGCACAGGAGGAAGAGATAAAGATCTCCAATGAAAATATTTCGATAGTTGGTGACTACTCCTTCAGTAAGGAAACACTTTTGTCTTTCAGTGCGAAT